GTTGCCAGAGGTGCCTCCAGCCACCCGCGTTAACTGGGCTTGCTGGATTGCAGCAGGAAAGCTGCTTGCTCTCCCGGCTACTGTGCCTGCAGCAGGCCCTTCAGATTGCTGTCGCTAGCTGACTATGAATATTTATCCATTTCCAGTGGCAGGGATTCATATCCTATAGGAATATGGCTGTATCCATACAGCACATTCTGGGAAATTTGAATAAACCAAAAGCCTGTATTTCCTCAGTAAGAAAAAACAGAAGTGAAAGTGGCCACGTAACACAGAAATAATCATCTTGAGAATTTATGCGTCTGTGCACAGAAACTGCCACATAACCAGTGCATAGAGATAATTAAAAATATTACTCACAGTCAGTCGGATGTCTATGCACTCCAGATTTTTATAAGTCACCTACAAGGGGATAGCTTCCCAGGAGCCCTGCTTCTGCAACATTTGCTGTAACAGAAATTTCCTCTGCATCCCTTAAAGGCCTAATGTGTGCGTAAGAAAATAATATATTTCATACGTGCAGAGCTCTGACCTACCTTGAGGCTGTTTTCCAGGCGCAGGTCATTTGCGACTACACGAATTTGCACTGGCGATCTTTTAGCGCTGTACGTGGTCATACGTCTTTTTTAAGAGAATATGATCAGTTCGCTAAGTGAGAATGAGAAGAAATTTTGTGGGAGGAGGACATCTAGTGACCTGATGTGTATTTACAGGCGGCCAAGAAGGCCAATGGCATCCTGGCCTGTATCAGAAATAGTGTGGCCAGCAGGAGCAGGGAAGCGATCGTGCCCCTGTACTCGGCACTGGTGAGGCTGCACCTCGAATACTGTGTTCAGTTTTGGGCCCCTCACTACAAGAAGGACGTTGAGATGTTGGAACATGTCCAGAGAAGGGCAACAAGGCTGGTGAGGGGTCTGGAGAACAAGTCTGATGAGGAGCGGCTGAGGGAGCTGGGGTTGTTTAGCCTGGAGAAAAGGAGGCTGAGGGGAGACCTCATTGCTCTCTACAACTACCTGAAAGGAGGTTGTAGCGAGGTGGGTGTCGGTCTCTTCTCCCAAGTAACAAGCGATAGGACGAGAGGAAATGGCCTCAAGTTGCACCAGGGGAGGTTTAGATTAGATGTGAGGAAAAATTTCTTTCCTGAAAGAGTGGTTAAACATTGGACCAGGCTGCCCAGGGAAGTGGTTGAGTCACCATCCCTGGAGGTATTTAAAAGCCGTGTAGATGAGGGGCTTAGGGACATGGTTTAGTGGGCATGGTGGTGTTGGGTTGATGGTTGGACTCGATGATCTTGGAGGTCTCTTCCAACCTTAATGATTCTATGATTCTATGATTCTACACGCCTAGCTGTTTCCTCGTCCAGCTGAGCCAGCCGGCTAGCCAGTTACAGGATTTTTTGAAGAGTAGCGAAGAGGGGGGCAGGGACGCAGTTTACTTTGCTGTAAAGTGGTAGTCTTGGGGTTTTGGTATGACAACATCCAAAACAACACCAGCAATTTAAACACAATTCTCAAATCAAGCTTTCCGAAATTAAATGTTGCAAAGATTTAGTGATTATTGCCACCCTTTTCAGCTACAGCTATGCCGTCTCCCAATTTGTATTTTACTGACGTTAATGACCATTTACACAATTCTTGCAAAGTAGCCATTAAAATCCTGATACGCTTAATTTCAAAAGCTTCCCATTGAACTACACAACTGCTCAGCATAGCAACATTGCTGAAATACAGTGATAGTTCTTTTAAAATTCTTTAAAAATGCTTCTTTTTAAAAAATTCCTAAGAAAGTATGATTTATTACATCTCAGACTGATGAAAACTAGAGCAGTTATTCAGCATTGTAACTCCCCTGAACTAGGTTTTATCAGAGAAACAGTGGAAATTTGTAACTATAAAAACCTCAGATAAATGCAGTAACGATCCATGACACACAATAGTCATTGTTCTTGACCTGCATATCACTTGGAGACAAAAATGCCAGATTTCACTAACATAAAATAAATATCAGTAACAAACTTGAAAACATTAACATCTCCATTTATACCATTTTCAGAGATATTAAAAAATCACATTCATATTCTTTAAAATAAGACAAAGTTATATAACTAGATGTTAAAATATTAAAATAATTAAGGAAAACAGTCAACTTGTTAACCACTGACAACAAAAAATATATTATAAAAACGTTGGTTTAAAAAGGACCTATGTATTTCCATAGCCATAGAGGAAGTCTAAAAAAACATGCATTTGCTTGTATATACGTGTCTGTTGTTTTGTAATGCAGGGACTAAAACTAACTGCCCTAGTAAATCTGTAGGTGCACTCTGAACATACTTTTTTCCTACTGTACTAGCAGTATGATTAACATGTCCCATAAAATCTCATTCCATGATTGATCCAGAAGGATTATCTCAGAAGGACATCGTCAAAAATGCACTTGCATTGCGGAGGAAATAGGAGTTATCAGTGAGGTTGCTCCCTTCAACGAGATGCGTGAAAAAGAAAACACCCGCAGCGGACGCAGCTTCTGATTTAGGCTTTTGTATGTGTGTGCATGGGAGAATATCTCCGTAGTTCGTATTATTGGCCTCTGATAGGTTGGCTTTCTCCTGCCCAACTTCAGCTTGGAAAAAAAACCTGCTAATAACATGCAGCTTTCTGTGGCTGTGTTTGCACTGAACTGGTAACTGGCTGGGTTGAAGCTCTGTGTGTACGTTACAAGCAAACACCAATATAAGCGATTTTCAAAGTCACAGGGCACATCCAGAGGGGTTAAAAAATCTGTTCAAACCGTATTAAGAAATCACATCCCTGATTCTGGACTGAAACCTACCCATTCATACTAGAGCAAAACCCAAACTCAGAATGGACTTCTAAAAGAATAGCTTATATTGGTAAATCTGATATAGTATGGAAATTCTAAATCCGCTTTGACTTTGAGAGGGATCAGTCCTGCCCTACATAATCTTAGACTTGTTTCACCGTATGATCCTTTTAGGTGGCATCCTCTCAGCTTCCCCACAAATACAAATATTCCTCGGAAGATCTGATTTTTCTGGGAAGGTAACAGCAGATGATAGCAGATAATAGCGCAAAGCACTACTCAAGGCAGTTCTTTTTATCTCACTGTCTTCCCCATTACTGAAGTAATCGTAATTAGTGTAACCTCCTCTGTAAAACCACTGCTGTCTCCACTGAAACGTGTTCCTGAGGAGTGGAAGGAGCGGCAGAGATCCTCTCCTGCGCTCCCCTGCAAGAGCTTTGAGGCTCTGAAGGTGCTGACCCAGAGCCAGGAGCAGAGGATTTGGGGGAAGGCAAGTCCCAGCAGGGCTGAGCTGGTGAGGCTGCACAGGAAAGGACACAGCAGAGCACAAAACTGATGCTCTTATGACACTATGGCAGTATTAATGACTAAACTTGTGAATCAGTTTGCATTGCCTACATTTACCATGATGATAAAACAAATTAGTTTTTCAATGAGAACGTATGGAAATGGCAAACTTTGGAGGGCTTGGGTAGTAAAGTTTAATTTTCTTTCATTTTAGCCAACATAGCCCACTGAAGTTGGCAGCAGCAAGAATACTGAATAACTTTTTAAGGAAAAAAAATGCTGGGTGCCTTTCAGCCTTATTACCATAACTTATTCTTAAACTCCATTGATTATTGAACTAAAAGTTCAATTTCCCCTGCACATAGACAATTTCTTTCAAGGAGAGGGCAAGTTTCTTTGTCACGCAGATAATTTTCATTCCAAAGTTTGCTAAACAAAATTGGCATTGATATTGCTGTGATTATTCCCGTCAAGCTTCTGATTTTTAATATTTTCAACCTGACAGATTTATTTCTTCTCAAATAAAGAAAAATCCTTCTCAGAATAAAAATATATAGCTTCCTTCTATTTCCTGATTCTGAAAATTACCAGGTGCCAAGCTGTGAACATAAGGAAATTGAAGACCCTTGAGGGTGACCTTAAGAACCACAAAGGTGGCGAATTGTGATATAGTGGTTTAGGCAATTTCATTGCAGCTGCTTGGCACTAGAAAAATGAGAAATGGGTTTTCTGTTACTAAATATAATGGATTCCCTTTCTGTTCTGCCACAAATTGTCAAACTTCATTAATGAGAAGACAGATGTGGTGCATGCACATATAAAGGGTAATATGAATATACATATTTAAAATGGAGAAATGTTGCATATTGCCACAGGAGGATTTTTTTCTCTGCATCAGATATTGCATAACTCTTCTAAATAAGATATTTCAAATTTAGCAGATACAGCGATGCAACACAACTTCTATATCTTCAGAGCAATTTGCTATTATTTGCAAAAAATGGCTACATTTTCAAGTGCATAGATACAGCTCAGTGGCTCAATTTCAGGATAACATTTAAGCCACATTTACTTTAAATCTGTGGGTATGCAATAGAGCAAGGCAACCACTTTTAGTTAGAATTAGGTTTAAATATCTTGCTGAATCAGAGCATAAAACACTTCATCATTTAATAGTAACATGACTTACACTTTTAATGTTCTTTGCAATTGTCTTAAATTCAGTGTGGCTCAGTTTGATCTTGAGGACAGCAAAGGCTGTCATTTATTGTTGTATGCAATATATGAATAAATGTACTGTCAGTAAGACATGGTCAGACTTCTCTTGAAGATCACTGTAAAATACTGATAATTACCATTTCAGTTGGAGTTATGACAATAATAAAACTGGAGGAACCCACCTCGGGCAAATTTAAATTTATCCCAATTATAAATCAAATTATACCTAAACTTTCCAGAATGTATAAGTAGTATTTAGACATTTAGTAAAGGTAAGACTTCTGCAACTACAGAAATGAAGTATATGTCATGCACTTTTATGGTCCTTGTTGGCAAGTGAAACACAATGGATTTCTTCTGTACAAAACTGAAGGAATGCTAGTAATCATCTCTCTCCTCTCCTCTCCTCTCCTCTCCTCTCCTCTCCTCTCCTCTTTCTCTTTTCTCTGCAGTTGCCTCAGAAGTGTCAAAAGGTACATCAGACCTGATCGCTGAATATGCTCCAGCTCCACGGTCTCCCTCAGGCCTCCCAAGGTCCATCCGTCCTCAGCCTACACATCCAGCCTTCCCTCCAGTGGAAACCAAGGCAGCAGAGAGATGGCAGGGGGTAGTTCACATGCACACAGGTTTTAGCCATGTGCAAAGTCAGCACAACAGCATTCTGGTTTAAACAGAGTCAAAGAGTTTTTGCAAATGACTTATCCCTCTGAAAATTCGCTCGAGTACTTCTTCCTCTGTTTATGCTTAGAGCATTGCTCTGTCCCACTTATGTAGAACATGCTTGTTTCTGTTGCTTACTTAGCAGGCCGGAATTTGAGAGACAGACTAGAGAATTTGGCAAAATCTGAAGTTCTGGAAATTAAAACAGAAATGGAAATTTTTGCATATAATAATAGATAGGAAATCTAAATTTCAGTTCGGCAATAAAAGGTAATTCCTGGAGTTTGCAGGAGCCCATTGCTGTTCATGCCCATATTTGACCTTATAATGATGCTCTTTTAAGCAGAGCTTAAGGCTTAGTTATCTAAATACGCTCCTGCGATGGGCCTGGGAGCAGCCAGGGAAAGGTATTATTTGGGCTCCTCCAGCCGCCATTGTCTCTCCATGCTCTTTTGTGGGTGTGCACAGGAGCTTTTACCACATTATCTAAAAGGCAATACATTTATATTTTGATTATATTTAGAATTGCTTATGAATATGATGTCTCATTAATGGTTTTTTTCAGAAGTATCAAAATAGATGTTGTCAAAATTTCCCTCACTTAAAAAAAAAGTCTACCTTAAAGCCAAATAAAAGTTTATTCTGAATTTGTTAAAAATAAAAATTAACTTCAGTTAAAGTATTCCACATTTCCTAAATGGACTATTTTGCTTATTTAAAAATACCTTGTTCAAAACAAATACCTTGGTTGGAAACTTAGCAGATATGCAAGTCTGAAAAAACCCCCCATAATATCCATTCCCCATCCCCTTCCATTTTCCTTGATTTTTTTTTTCTTTCAAGCAAGTAAACCGAGTGTAGGAGTTGTTTGCAGAACATTGCCTTCAATATTTGGCGGAAGAAGACCTTGCAGCGTTCCCTGAGCATGACCCATCTTGGCAGCACAATAACCTCTAGCGACAACGAGGATCTCTGTTGGGAAACATCCTGTAAGAGCAGCTCAGGCTCCATCAGCCGGACCATCCCTGTTGAATACGACTGCTTTGGTAGGGTAGCAGACAACCAAAGGGTGGCACGCCCAAGGATTTGCTGCTTCTGAGCTACTCCTAGCTATTCAGTAAATTTTAATTAATTGGCTTGCCAGTTCCAGTATCCTTTTCCAGTTATACAAAACTGAATAAAAGGAAGACCACACACATTTCTCTACTACTGCACTAAATGTGCATCTCAGCATTTTTAGAACATAGAAGGCTTTCTAGGAGCAGGCATATTTTTATGCATACTTGTGTTATGCTCTATACTCCTACGAACAGCTCAAAGGTCGTATCTAAATGATCTTATAGACTGTACGTCTTCCACTTGGAAAGAGAAGCACAGCGAGAAATAACTTTGCTTTGCAGAGACAAGAGAAGGTGTTGGGACAGCCTGGAGCAATAAACCCCCCTCCTCCCTGTAAACAGCAATGGTGCCAACCTAGTAGTAGCTGTTCAAAATGTTAATACTAGAACGTAGAGAACAGTTTTGCATAAGATTCAAAGGTAACAAGTCAATAAATAATTTACACTGCCACACTTATTTAAGTCATATTTCATGTTTCCTAGGGACACAACAGAACTTGGATAACACTTACGGACAGATGGCAGATTGTCTCCCTAGTTTTGTGGAACCTATGCTCTGCAAAATACTGTTCACTACCAGGAAAATCAGTGTTTAGCATAAACATTGATGGAAACTTTTTTTTCTCTTTTTGCCAAGGTTCTCATGTTAAACCATCCCAATTCAACATAGTTAAGAATGGAGCAAGTAGTATAAGTGCAGTATTATAAATATTAAATGAGATTTCTACTCAATCATGTGCCAAAAAGACAAGCATGGAACATGGATTTTGTTTTCTCTGGATTGTCACAGCAATAAACATTTAAAGTCTTCTCATCAAGTATGATGTAACCCTGGGATATCACAAAAATTAGTTTCATATTATAGAAACTACATCACGTAACTAATCAACTACCTCACTCAGAACTGCCGGGTTATATCTCATTTTAGTTGGCATGATAAAGTGAAGAAACGTACTGGGATTTTTAACAGAATGGGAGCTTAGTAACTGTTAAACGTTGCACAGCTCTTGTCCCAGATTTTGGGTTTTTTAATTGTTATTATAGAGTGGTGTATTTCACTTGCCAATTAGCATAAACTCACCTTCAGGTTGCCTGAAGACTCTGTAGCGTTCTTCTCCGCTGTCTCTCCTGAGCGTGGAGGACTTCTTCAAGACATGGGGTTATTTCTGCTGAGCCAACAGGCTGATACTCTTAGCTGCACCGAGAGTATAAAATTGTCTGTTACGAGTGGGAAACAATGAGTGGGCAGAAGTAAAGCAGTTTCTTATAGGAGCGGTCAGCCTCAGGAGGAACAAGACTGATGGCTGGTATTAACAGCAAAGATAAACCCAAGGTGGGGTGCCAAGTATTATACAACTCGCACGACATGCATTTGGTAGCCCTGTCCCAAAGGCCACCCGAGAGCTCATATATCTCGCTGGGCTGTGGGCAGGTGGCTGCAGTTTTTCTCCTGCCACACATTCCCAGCGGGCAGAGGTTTTGAACAGGTAACATTTTGTCTTTGTTTAGTTGCATTGTCCTTCAAAAAACAGCCCAGGAGTCAATTGTAATTTCGGGCTGGGAGACATCCAACACGAAGTGGAGAGAGACTGGGGAGAAACAGGTAAAACAAGTAAAAACATCCCAAGTTTAGTTATGCCACAGGCTAATATTCAAGAGGGTAGGCAGAAGTGTTACATTCCTTCAATATCAGGTGTATGCATTAAACAGCCTAATCTAGTAGGTGGCTGTTCAAGACCTTAAGGTTGGGTGGAAGTTGCTGTTTGTTTTGAAAAGGAATGATGTATCACTCAGGGAGAATTGAGTCCTATTTATTTATTTGTTTTAATTTTATTTATTTTTATTTTTTGTTTATTTATTAAGTGTTAATTTTCTGTGGTCCTGAAGTCTAACCTGTCCCTGAGAAGCCTTGTGCTATGCGATTTCTTTTTACTTGCCTCCTGATCATGAACTATGCTCATATGATGAAACACCAAACATCTCTTTGTTGTCAGCCATGACAAAACCACTCACAGCTTATATACTGAGTGTTGAACTCCTATGACAAACTTTTCTGTTCACAATCAATCTACGTGATGAACAAGCCCATGGAACACACTGTAAGTTAAAGAAAAAAGGAAAAGAATAAATGAATCCAACTCTCTCACTGCTTAGAGTCCTTCCCAAAGCAGACAAAGCCTGAAATATGCAATGAAGTTCCCGCAAAATGCATCACACAGGCATACATCTACTGCATCATACGTTTGTATAGCATGTAACAGTAGTTCAGTAAGCCCTAATCATGAACCATGACAAGCCACTCCAATCAGCATGATATAAATGGAAAAATTTACACTATGCCTGTGCAATCACTCTGAGAAACTTCTCAGAAGTAACAACAAGTGCTTACAACTATCTTCCCCACAACTTAAATTAAAGGAATGTAATTTTGCTGTGCTTATAAAATGATGTTAACCTAGTTTTTAGGAGTCAAATATGTAAATGGTGAATATGAATACGATATGTACAAGAAGCCATGGGCAAATGAGTCAGCCCTCAGGAATTTCTGCTTATTCTGTATCTCAAACCCTAAAACTCGTCTGTTCTTGCAAGTGAAAGTATTTCGTTTAGTATTGACGTGCCTTTGTTTCACGTCCCAGAAGATGGCAGTAGTCCCACAGTATTTCACGTTCAGTAAGCCCTAATCATGAACCATGACAAGCCACTCCAATCAGCATGATATAAATGGAAAAATTTACACTATGCCTGTGCAATCACTCTGAGAAACTTCTCAGAAGTAGAATGCAACAAGTGCTTACAACTATCTTCCCCACAACTTAAATTAAAGGAATGTAATTTTGCTGTGCTTATAAAATGATGTTAACCTAGTTTTTAGGAGTCAAATATGTAAATGGTGAATATGAATACGATATGTACAAGAAGCCATGGGCAAATGAGTCAGCCCTCAGGAATTTCTGCTTATTCTGTATCTCAAACCCTAAAACTCGTCTGTTCTTGCAAGTGAAAGTATTTCGTTTAGTATTGACGTGCCTTTGTTTCACGTCCCAGAAGATGGCAGTAGTCCCACAGTATTTCACGGATATATAGCAGCAGTTTCCTCTCCAGACTGGGTGTGGTTTTTTAACAGCTAACTTTCTCTATTGTACCACTTAAGGAGGAAATCTTCATTAGCATTACTTTGGTGCTAACATACAGTTTGTACCTGAGTTTTTTTTAGCACCTATTCACAGTTTGTTTGGTTTTTTAAATTCTACATAAAACTAAAATGAAAATAAAAACATTTGTATTAAAATGCCTTATTAAAGGCCACCTAAAAAGACACGCAATACTATGTATTTACTACTTGACTCTAGGGAGATATTAAAATTTGTTCTGTCTCAGATTGGAGAGCAGAAATTTGTGCTGTCAGTTCAAGCTTGAGCTAAGGCATTTTTAAGCCAATGATAGCTAAAGCTAGTTTAATTGCAGCCCAGAGCAATGAGAAAACAACCACTTGAGCACGTTATCTGTGTCTGCTGTTGCATAAACTGAGGTACAGAGGAAAGCTTTTCTATTTTCATATTCGTGTTGCTATTTCTCCATTTCATTAGAAATCTTGTATATGGCATTCTCTTAGATCCCATAAAGTGGAACTGTAACACAGTAAAAGCATTAGCTTCTCTTTTTGAAAAAAGTCTATCATACCGTGGTTGCAGAGGAAATTGAAGATCTGAAGCTTCAGAACAAATCCCGTATGGGAGGTCACAAGAACATGGATGGATTCTTTCCAACAGACACCGCCTGCTGCATTTATGGCCTCTTGCTTACTGTGGAAGTTCCTGAGTTGCATAGGCATTACTCAGTTCAAAATACTGTATCCGGTGTGTCAAAACCTCGACGACACCTGCCTGTGCATGTTTCACAGAGACTATGCCCCGTCTCTTTGTGTGCATCTTCTCAGTACTTTGCTCAAGAAAGACTTGAGTTAGATTGGGACTTTTGGATCTTACTTGATTAAAAGTAATACATTACTTGAGTACCATCTTCAGTATTTTTGAAGGTCAGTTTCTCCCCAGGTGTCTTTCAGAGTCTCTAGTTTCTGTTTTTTTAATCAAGGAGCCAGCAATTCATTGCATTGTGATGAATACATTTTCCCCCTGTTCACTGTGTGAACTGTAGCGTACATTAGAG